AGTGACTGAACTCTTAAATTTACTTGTAAATCGTATACTTACTATAGCTCATTTCAGATGGGGGAGTGTATTGTTTAATATGTTATCTACTGCGCTGGCTAATTAAGGCCACAATTGTCAATTAATTATTACTAATCGCATAACGTGATGACGTCATAAACGGAATTCACTGTATTACGACTTGCTAGTCAGAAGAACTGTGAGACACCACTGGATTTTGAACACGACTACTCCAAGCGATGATTCAATAAAGGTGCTGTTTAAAACCGTGGACTGAGTTAATCTTCGACTGGCAAAATAGTATTTGAATTTTCAAAAATGCTGTAGTCAGGAGCAGTCAGGAAGAAATTATCGCGAGCTCTTGCCAAGTACCTCTATAAAGCTGTATATAGTATGATGTACTATTCAAATCTACAGGAAAACGAAAATTTGGACTATGACAATCTCGGATTTGCACAGTCGTTTTAGGCAACTAAAAATTGTACTTTTACTTAGATGAGGAATAAGTTTCCACATATTTTTTGGCCACTTCTGAAGAGTGGTTTTTAAGTGGTTTTTTGTAGCCGGCATAGCACAGGTTCTTTTGGTAGAACCCTTAGTTTTCAATGTGCGCATGTTAAGATCATATTAGGATGCGTATACTACAAGAATGGCTGACTCATCCTAAATAAACTTTTCACATTAAATAACCTGTCTGAGTATAGTCAGAATCCATGGTAAGTACCTTCCTTATGCCTGGACATAATCTCAGAAAGGTAACCAATCCACCATATTGCTAATCATAGTTACGCTATGATTGCCCCTGCTGGGTCAAACATCTCCGGGGACATCTTGCAAATATTAGTATTTATCATATAAACTGCAGTGTCATACAAGGATTCCAGCCTGAGAAAAGCCGTAACACACCTGAAAAAGTACAATAATGTTTTCACGTGTGTTTCATATCGCCAATCAAATGCTGACACATCATTTGCCTTTCGCGTCAGTGGCGCCGCTCTGTCAGGTTGATGAATGAATGGCAAAGCTTTCATCATTGCCGAATTTCACATCGGGAGAGACTGAAGCTGGTTTGATGAATATTGAAAAAAATATTTGAACATGGCCGTCGGACAACGGAAAGAAATGGCACTGGAATTGTGCAGCTGCCTTGTGTACAAACTGGAGAAATAATGATGTAACTTAAAAATTGGATCATCGAAGGACACACCTCTGAGAGCTTCGTACATGAAGGTGCTAAACACGATAATATAAATTGGGGAAAAGCGGTCATTTGCTCTTAGCATTGATCAAAGGGAAATAGAGAAGACTTGTACAATCTACTGGATTGCGTATGGAGCGAACAGTTCATTAACATATCTTGAGAACTCTACTACACAAAAGTGTGCAGCATTGAAAAGAAAGAGGCTGGTTGCAGCTAAATGATCGTTAAAATCTTCGTCGAGTGAAGTAAATGCAAATAGCGAATAATCTTCCGAACAGAAAAGAGGGCAAATAAGAAGAAAGTCAGTCAGAGTTATAAACCAGACTAATGTGGACACAAACTTGAAAAGGATAAGCTCAGCTATCAGGTGGAGGAACTGGCAAGGAAATCGCAAGAGAAAGAAGCAGAGATGGAAAGGCTAAAATCTCGGGTGGAGTACCTTCTGGAGAAAGAAAAAATCCAGGAAAGCAAAAAAAATTGTAATGAAGAGAGGACAATTTAACTATATGAACTTGAGAGACAAACAGAATAAATAATTTTATTAAACTGGCCTTAAAACATACAAATTTGACTGTTTGTATGAGTGTGTTGACAATTGCTTGAATCTTTGTAGCATGGAAATAATACAGTTAACACACCTGAAATATCTTCAAACAACTTAACTGCACGTTCCCCAAACTGTGTCCCTCGAGAGAAGTTCTTAAATCTCTTTGGTGCAGCTTTGCTCTCATCAACGTTGTTGTGTATACAGAACCATGCATGCTCAAATTCCTTTTGCCCATGAAAACCCAATAAATAAGGGATTTTGCTGGCAGTTATAATCCCTATTCTAGAGGCATGCCACTGTTTTGATCCCTGCTTCACTGGGACATAGTTAGCCTTACAAAAATGCTGCCGTATTGTTCGAGTGTCAAGATCCTTCATTATTTCACTTGCCATGTCTTTTACATCCCTTTATAGCTACACAACCTTCAACAAATCATTACCCATTACCCTTTCAGCCAATTTTTCCCTGCTTTTTTTAATTGTTGTCTTCAATTATAAGGTTTCCTAATAAAGAAAGCATTTCTGTGCGCTTTGAGTGGTATGTGAGAGGTGCTCATTGCCATACTCGATTTTCTACCTTTTTTGTACCACGTTTGCTTCTTTTGGGTGTATGTTAGGGGAAAAAACCAATGGTATTTCACTAAGTAAAAAAAATTACACAACCACCCGCTCACCAACTACACAAGAAAACACTTTGCAACTTGCGGCAATTTTGTCCGGCGTTCGTAAAATTCGCCCCAGTCTCTAACGATATGAAATTCGGCAAAGCACCATTCTCAATCCATGGTCATATGTTGAGATTTTCTCGGATAGTGGCTTCTAAAACACGTAAAAATTTGTATTGCTTATAGACAGTGACGTTCAAAATTTCCCAGAAAGGGAACAAAATCCAAAATACGGAAAGAAAACCCGAAAGTTACGTACTCAGTGGCTTTGGTAATGCCTTTTCTCGCGACTGAGAACAACTGGAAGGTTTGCCACAAGCCGATTTTGACTGTATAGCTGAAAAGATTTCTTCCGTCGGTTAGGAAAAAGTCAATAACTGAGAGTTTTGTAAATTGAAAGTTACGCCCATCGTTTGTTTTTGCAATGATCTTGATCTTTTTCGCCCACGCGCTTAACGACTATTTTGTTCCTTCATTCATAAAGTCGACTTTTCTTGTCAGTAAAGGGCTATTATGTTTATAAAATGAACAAAATAATACATGGTTGCTCGTAGAAATAAAATTTCTATTCTCGTGTTCAACTCGACATCTCACTCGTTCGCTGCGCTCGCTCGTGAACTATTGAGTTGAACACTCGAAGAGAAATTTGATATCTCGCGCGCCTATTTTTTTTTCTCTAAATACCTATAC